GGTACGAATTTTGATGCGCGCCTGTAATTTGCGGGCGGAGGGCGCGTTGGAGGTAATGGTGGCCTCTACCTAGGAGGTGAAGACGCGCCGCCCATCCGGGCACCCGAGTGCGTTTGGCCGCGGTCGCGTCGCCCGGCACCGCCTGCCGTCGGCGTGGAATCGAAACCAAAGCACTTGGCAACAGCCGCGCGCCGCCGCGCCGTCTATGAATCTTTAAACGTCGCCGGCGTCGTGACGCTCGCGGAGCCACGCCTGGAGCGGGCTGCTGGAGGAGCGCGCGTGCCTCCTATCCCGCCCGTCGCCTGGAAACGGAACCACCGGAGCAACAGACGGACACATCCACGGCGACCTTAGACGCGTTAGAGGCGTTATCGCATCCGGGAGGCGTCGAAGGACAGCAGCGCCTCCACGACGGCTTGCTCGGCCTGCAGCACGGCCGCACCAAGGAGCGTCCCCTCGCTCGCACCTACATGGGACGCCCCACGAGTGCGAGAGAGACAGATGTGCGGAATCTGGCGGCGGACCAAGGCGGCATGGATCTCGTCCAGCGCGGTGAATGTAGATTAATCGACGCGCCCATCACTCAACCCACGCCGCGTCCCGGATGCCCGGGTACTGGTAGTGCCTCGCTGTCGATACAAAATACCGAACCTAATCTAGCCTAGCCTCACGGGAGGCGCTGCCGTGGTGGACCTCCACCACCATCCGGACACACACAACACACACACACACACGCAGGCCGCAGCTTCCACAAACATGACCCTCCCGGCGCGCCGCCGCCGCCGCTGCCGCCTCAGACATGATGCCGCGGCGAATTAAAAATGTACTCCCTTTCCTTTCCCTCGCGTCGCTCCGTCTCTCTCGCACCTTCACACGCGTCTAGTGGGTCAAGAGCGGCCGTGAGTCAACAGCGGCAGCGGCGGCCCGTCGGCCCGGCCGCCCGTTCGCGGGGAGCCACTAACGCCGGCTAACGAAGCGGACGGTCCGGTCCGGCTTTTCCCTTTCGACGGCCGGCGGCCCGAAACCTCCCCGACGGACCGCCGGCACCGCCACTCCAGTGCGGCCAGCGCCACGCCAAACAAACAAAATAGTGGCGACTGGAACGCGGCATCGCGCCGGGCACCACGCACACCGGAAGCGGCGGCCGCGCCGGCCGGCGAACCTCAGCACGGCCAAGCACGGCGGCGGCGTGGAGCGCGGACCAGGCCAAGTACCCGCACAAGGCCACCGCCAAGCCGCCCGCCGCCCGGCCACTCAGTGCCTCCAAGACGTACTCGCTCCTTGTCGCCGTCCCGGACCGTCCCGGACCGAAGCAGAAGCACGCTTCCATCACACTAATGCCAACGCGCAGGCCAATAAAACGGCCGCATGCACTCAAACGATGTGAAACTTGGCGCGCACCAGAGTGGACGTGATTTAGCGCGTCTGGAAGTCTGGAAGCGAAGCGCACTGCGAGAGTGGCAGGCCAGTTAAGTGTCTCCGTCGTGATGACAACGCGCGTTGATGGCTTGTTGCACAATGGCCAGCTGCCTGGCCGGCGGCACCGCCACGCCACTGCGCTCCACGACCAGAGGGTGCGCGGCGGCGAGGCGAGCCCCCAGGGGGCGTTGCTTTGCTGCAGTCGCTCTGCAAGGCGCGGCCGCCGCCGGCCGCCTTGACCGTGAATTTGCATATCGTTGCCAAGGCGACCGGGCCGCCGTGGACGACGCGGCGACGACGCGGACGCCCCCGCCGCCATCTCTTACGCAACGCCGCGTCATATCGGCCGTTCCTTCCGCCGCGCCGCGGGCAGGGGCAGTGCCGGGGCAGTGCCAGGGCGGTGCAGGCACCGATGCCCCGAGGCAGCCCGCCTCCGTTCGAGTTGTTGCATCGTCTCCGCGACGCCGACCACGCCGTCGGCACTTGAAGCTGCAAGTCGATTCCGATTCCGATTCCGATTCGGCTGCGTCCGAGAGCGGCGCGCGTGCACCGGCCGCGTCCGAGGCAGGCGGGGCCGGCGAGGCTGGCGACGCGCGAGATCGGTGCAGCGATTGTGGCGCCCAGGGCAGGAGGACGCTAATCACTCTGACGGCTACGGGTACCTCACCACTACACCATTAATTTCCCCCGCGCTATAAATATACCCGCCGCCGGGGCCGGGTCAGGGTGGAGCACCGAGCACCGCGTCGAGGGCTGGGGCTGGCCTGGCCGCCGCCAAGGGCGTCGTGGAGGGCTGACGGGGATGTTGACCTCGAGCGACGGCGCGCCGGCCACGTTTTTGCACACGAATGAGGATTGTGGCGATGGCCGTGGCCTCTGCGGCTCGCGCTGCGGCTCTGTGGGGCACTGTCACGCTGCAGCACTGCTATTGACGCCCCGGGGCCCCACAAAGGCGCATTCCCGGAATAGGGCGATCGGGCCGGCCCTTTTCATCGGCATGGCGGCCTCATGACGTGCAGTCTCCACGAAAGGCGTGCAAAGGTGTGGGAATCGATGCGGGCATGTCGAGGCCGCCGCCCTCGCCACCCTCGCCCTGCAGCGGGGAGGCATGACTCGAACCCCGTCTTCCTCGGGACTAATCAAACACATGACGGCACCAATCAGTTGCCCGTCCGTCGGACGAGGAATCCATTGGTGCGCCGTCACGCGTTCGATTGGAATCCGATTCAAAGACTTTCGGGCTCGATCCGCGTCCAGAAACGGCTCTTGTGGCGCTGCGCGTCGGTCTAGCTGGCCGTCGGGCCGTCGGGGGGCTTCCCGTGGGGAGGAATTTCAATCGGCCACCGTGCGGGATGCAGGGCGGGACGTCCGCGGCGGCAGTGGCCAGGCAGTGGCCAGGCAGTGGCAGCGCAGACCTCGCGGCGGGGAGCCCGCACGCCTCGGAGAAAGCTCAGCGAAGGCAGGCATTTTAACGACGGCGCGGGGAAGCCCCACAACGGCACCGAGCACACACACACATGCACACAATCCACTCGTATGGCCGTTTACGATTATTGGCGTTTCGGTTTACCGGCCAGGACGGCGAAAGCCGCAAAGTCGCAGGGAAAGGGGCAGGCTCCGGGGACCGCCGAAGAAGGCGCCGAAATGGTGCGCCTTGCCTGGCGTCCCGGCGGTGGGCCTTGGCGACGAGAAGGAAGACAGAAGGCAAGGGACGGCAAGGGGCTTTATGTCATCCCGGTCATGCCACGCTACGCCGGGCCACGCCGCCGCGCCGCCGCGCCACGCCGCGCGGTGCAAGGACGCCGGCGGCCTGCCGGTGACCGACCGCACGCCGAGTACCCCGAGTACGCCGAGCCGGTGCGGCTGCGGCCAGGCTGCGGCCGCGCGGGAAGAGGAAGGAACCGCGAGAAGACGAGACGCCCACGCGATCCCGGCGGAGTCCTCAGGGCACTGGCCGCGCCGCGGCAGGCAGATCCCGAAGCGCTCCGTCTCTCTCGCACTCACGGGGCGTGCCGACGGGGTGCGAGAGAGACAGCGCCTTATTAGTGAGGTAAGGTCAGCCGCGTGCTTTGGCCGACTGCACACGGTTTGTCGTTATTCGGTATCGCGGCGCGCATCTCGTGTCCCAGTAACCTTGCCGCCTTGCCGCCAGTGGTGCCAACCCGGTGCCAACGCCAACGGAAACTGAAAGTGAAGCGGTTCACGCGACCGCCACAGCGTGGCCACACGCCACGCCCGGCGGCCGTGCGTGGCGGCACGCGGCACCGGCAGGGCCGGCAGGCAAGGAACCTTATTCATAAAAAGAATCAGCGGACAATGGACCTAGAGCAACAGCACGGCAGGAAAAACCAAAAAGTGGGTCAAACGGACGGAGCGCAGCGGAAGCGGATTAGCAGTGTAGCGGCAAGTTCAAGTTCTCCAGGCCTCCAGCCTCCAGGCCAGGTCACTGCAGGTGTCGCTGTGTCCCCGGCGCCGCGACGCCGCGCGCTGCACGCCCATCACAATCACGGCCAATCACGTCGCACGACGCCAATTTCAAATTCAGTCTCGCTGCAGCGCGCCACGCCGCCACGCCGCCACGCAGGCCCCAGCACTGGAATCGAAGCAGCCATTTCCGTCACCGGCGACGCGCTGGAATTTTAATTTCGCATCGCCGCCGCGCCGCACCACTAACCCCGTGCGCGTGGCGTGCGGTGTCCGTCGAGGCCGCGCCACCGGCCGTATCACTGTAATTAATTGAAATCCTGCGGGCTATCTCCGGACAGTGCTTTCGTCGGTCCGTCTCTCTCGCACTCATGGGGCGTCCTGTGAGGTCGCGAGAGAGACAGAACGAGCAGAGCCCAGGCAGGCGCAGTGTGCTGGCAGTGCACGCTCACGCAGTCGGTGGCGTAGCCACGGCCTGGACCCGGGAAACAAAACGCTTCCAGCGCCGAAGGCTTGATTCGTCGCTCTGTCTCTCTCGCACCCGTGGAGCGGCCCGTAGGGGTGCGAGAGAGACAGAGAGACGACGCGGCCGGCCGGCCGACGTTCGGCCGCACCAGATTTTCCGGAAGATGTCACAGCGGGAAGGCCCGGTGACGCACCACATTGACACTGCTTGTCCCGCGGCCTCTAGAGTCGTTGAGACGGTAGTTCACGAGGCTCTCGGCGAGGGCGTCCGAGAATGTCGCGGAAGAGCGAGCGCCGGGAGAAAATTAGGCTGGTCGGCTGCGGAGGCGGTGGGGGTAATGGGCATGCACGCCTTGCTGAGCAGGAGAGTGAGTGAGTGAGTGAGAGTGAACGAAATAGATCATCACACGTCGCCCCCGCCCACAACTTTTACCTCAGGGAAGTACCCGGCCTTCGCAAGCTTTGAGCTTCCTCAGCCAAGTCCCAGTGCCAACTATTTTTTTCTTAGATTTTTTTTCGCGTCTATGCCTTGCAAAAGCCTAGCGGGTAAAAAGATCTGGATTCGATAACTTCTAAACTTCTGAACTGAGATCTAGGTTACATAGCCATCGAATCAACTTCTTTCTCCAACCCCTTAGCGAGATGAGACTCCTGGTTCCTGACGCGCAGGACGCCAACGTCCTTCCGCTTACCTGGTCGTCGGGAAGAAAAGGATAGTAGTCCGCGGGGGCTGCGGGGCCTGCTAGCGAGACTCGCTATCAGGCGATGCAAGATGCCCACGTCGAGAGCACAGCGAGCACGGCGTCGGCGGCGGTGTCGCCCGGTCCACTTGGTGGCTGAGGATGGTCACGGCACTTGATGCACTCACTCCACTGCTAGGACACACGCACGACACGACACGACCCGGACCCCTTCACACGCGTGAGCTGGTCGGGTTGGGCACGACGCACGCCGAGGGTTGGACTTGGCTGGCGGAGATGCCTCCACTCCACGCTGGGCTCTGGCTCGGACTGACCACGCTTGCCGCGTTCACCGGCACAAAACTCGACCCCAAGCAGGCCGCCTGGCTGCCTGGCTGCCTGGCCGCTCGCTTGGCTGCCAGCCTGCCTGGCCGCTGCCGTCGCTGCCAGGCGCAGCGCAGCGCGCCATTCGCCGCGGAGGCAGCCGGCAGGCAGCCGGGGCGGCCGTCGCCGGCAGTGCGAGCGAGACGGCAGATAGGGAAGTCCACGGGCTGCGTGCGGGCGGGTTCCGATCCGAGTCGCAGCCGAGCGCCGGCCGAGACACGCCGAGCAGTGCGGAGCCGAGCCGTGGCCGGTGGCGGTAGCGGTCGTGGCGGCAGTCGGCAACGCCGCGCAGCCCCCCCCCCTCTCGCCTCGCACCCTCACACCTCCACCCTCATCAGTGCGTGCGTAGGTACTCTCCCCATCACGAGTTGATTTTCCACCGAGACAATCCCCCTTTCGCCGAACTGTGCGGTATCGTGGACGAGCCTTTCTTTTGTTCGGAGTTGTTTACTGACGGGGGTGGAAATCAAGCAGCAAGAGGGGTGGGTGGGAATGGCCCCAGGCTGTCCACCTGGGCACTGTTGGCACTGTTGCCTGCCATGCCTCTTCTTCCGACTCATCCCGACTAACGCGTGTAGTCGACGAATAACCCGCGAAAACCTGGTGCAGAAAGCCGAAGCAACGCCACGTCTCAGCAGTTCTTTTTACAAAAAGTCCTTCCCCTCGGGCGCTGCTGTCTGGAGAGTAAAACCCGGGGCAGCGATCCTGCGTCTGTCTCCGTCGCACTCAAGCGGGAGGGCCCGGCCGGCCCGGGCAGGGCTTGCGTTCGTTGCCCCTACTGCCCCTCGACGCCCCTCGGCTTCCATTTCTCCTCTCGACTCTTTTTATTTTGCGTGTGCTTCTCTCTCCCCTGCCCCCGCCTCGGCCCCCGCCTCGGCCCCCGCCTCGGCCCCTGCCTCGGCGAACCGGCCCGCAGCGCCCGCAGGGACCCGGCCCAAGTATGCGAAGATGCTCCAGCCGGAGTGTCCGAAACGACCCCTTGACGCTGTCGTTTCGGAAGACCGCGGAGCTGCAGTCGTGTTGCTGGACTCCGCTGCTGCAGCGGCAGCGCGTGGACGGTGCCGCTACAAGCAATCAACAGCTTTTTGCTCTTTTTCATTTTCTAAAGTTTTTTCTCGGGGCGGGGGTGATGGGGCGGCGAAGACGTAAGCAAAACTGCAATCTTGCCTGCTGCCCCCTCCCCTCTTCCCCAGCCCTACCGCCCTGGGTACCGATTCCGAAGAGTTGTCTCTCCGCTCTGTCTCTCTCACACCGTTGCGCCGCGCCCTGTGCGTGCGAGAGAGACGGGGCGACGACAACGATGTTCGGAACCACACTGGCGCGGGGGATAACCGAAGTGCACTGCGTGTGCGTCAGCGCGAGCCGGTCGCCGTTGGTGTCGCCACGCCCCGGTGCAGGCACTGCAGCTTGCACTGCAGGCACTGCAGCTTGCACTGCAGGCACTGCAGGCAGAGCCAAGCGAGGCGAGGCGAGGCAAGGGCCGATCGGCCGATTGGCTGCAGGCGGTCACTTTTCTCGGAACGAGGAGCAGGACGCCAGGACGACGAAACGACGGCACAGGGAAGTCAGTGACGTCACCGGCACGGCCGGCACGCCGCTCAGGCGGAACGGCCACGACGCCGAGGCCCACGACGGCCAAGTCCACGACGGCGGCGTCCAGGATACGGCGGCGTGCTCGAGCCGGGCGCTACACTGTGTTGGGCTGGTGTGCGTCCAAGTCTCCGCCTCGATGAAGGCGGCGGAGGCATCGGACATCGAAGGGCATCCGGGTTCGGGCGGCCCAATTCGGGCGAGCTGTTCAAAGGACGCGGTGCCGCGCTGAAGTGGCTGAAGCGAGGGCGGGGGAGGCCATGCAGCCCGCAGCCCCGCGCGGACGTGTGCGGCACACTGCGGAGCGGCCACGGCGTGAACGTGCACAGAGGCGGGGGAGACTTTGTTTCCAAAGCACCGCTCAAGGCGAAGCGCGCCGGCCGAGCGGTTCAGAAGAGCGCTTTGTCGCTCTGTCTCCCTCGCACCCTTACGGAGAGCCCCATGAGTGCGACAGAGACAGAGCGACGAACCGCTCGGCAGGCGAAGCAGGCGAAGCGCGCCAGGTGCGAGCCTGATTGGCGCGTTAAAGGCTATCGATGCATTCTAGTTCCGCTCCGCTCGGATATCCGACTCTCAGACTCCGGCGACGTGTGTGCCATTGGGTGAGTATGGCATCGGTATGCGAAGGCGATTTCCTCGTTCTCGGAGGTGTTTAAGCTGTCCGGGCTTCATTGAACGTCTGCGTGCGTGCGCGCGGCGCGCGTGAGGCGGTCTGGTTCACACTAGCCTGGCCATTCACGCGGCTTTGAACTTGGCGGGGCTCGGCTCGGCCTTATAAGGGTACGCACAGTGTGGTGCCCACTGCCTACCGCGGCCGCGCGGATTCGGACATTCGGAAGGCCGGGTCCTTGCAGCGCTGCGCGGTGCTCGCCTCGCAGGACCGGCAGACAATGGATTAACTGTTCGGCGGCGTTAGCGCGCCGGCGTTTAGAAGGTGTGCGTGATTGCCTGTTTATCTGCCTTTGGTTCCAGCATGGTTCCAGGGCACCCAGGACCCAGGGCACCGCCTTCTCGCGCGTGACAACACGACATCGCGCGGTCCTCGCCCCGTCGAGTGCCGCTCGCCATTCGCAGCGGACCGGTCTATTAGTCGATGGCGGAAATCAAACGGACGCCTCGGCGGCCATTGGCGCCACGGCTTTTTTTCGCGCCCGGTACAAATTGGGCTCCCACCGGCAAGCGGCTTCGATTATCGGACGAATTAATCAGCCAATTTCTCCGGATGGCTGGCTCGGCTCGGCACGGTGCGGTACAGCCCACGCCTCGAAGTGGCCAAGCGGTCCATCAGCAGCGCGCTCCATCTAATGATACAGTTTCCAGCAATGACACGGCGCGTCACGGCGCGTCACGGCGCGTCACGGCACGGCCTGACTGTGACTCACAGTGGCCGCGGCGCCACGGGACGATCCCAGATCCCTCTTCTCTCCGTCCCGCCTGACGAGCCGCCGGCCTTTTTCTCTCCGTTTACTCTACTAATAAGGCTCTGTACATGGGAATATTGCCTGCGCAGCGCCATACGCGAGAAGCACTCCACTCACTCACACACCCACTTACTCACACACACACTCACACACACGCGCGGACACGCAGAGGCAGTCGTCTGGCGTCACCAGGCCGGCGCGGCCGGAGCGGGGCGACCCTCTGACGTCACGAGGTCCGCCCGTACGCACACGCGCACTCTTTACGCAGCGCGGAGCGCGGTTCGGCCGGTAATCCCTGCGGCGATCGCCGGCCGGTTCCGAAGAATCGTGTCACCCCTCCCTCCGGGCCGCGGGCCGCCCCGCGAGTGCGACAGAGACAGAGCGACGGAACGACGGCGACTCCTCGGAATCGGTCTGCGGCCCGAGCCTGACACAGTGCCGCACGACCAATCTCTTTTTCTTCCCTTTTTCTCTCTGGACGAGTTCCAGCTAGGCTCCAGCTGCCACCACACTGCTGACGTCGTGACGTGGCGGGGCGCGTGCGCAGGCCTAGGCCGGCCGCGGCGGCACGGGACGGGACGGGGTCGGCGGGCGCGACTTGGCTGGTCCTGGCAGGGCGCCGACGAGAGTGGACAGTGCGGGCGTCGCGGTCGTGCAAGAAGTCCGTTTCGGCGAGGCAGACATGTCTCCGTCGGCCCAATTGACGCGGCCCGAGTCCGTCTGCACGCCACCAGACCACAGGAGAATTTGCCGACCAGCCACGTAATACTCTCCCGCAAACGCTTCGATAATTTCGCAAACGTGTCCTGCTGGATCTGGAGCGCCGGGGAGCTGGGGCTTCCCGCCGCCTTCCTGTTGGTCGTCGTCGAGGTGGTCATCGCGGCGGCGGCTTGCTCCCCGGACCGCGGCGCTGCTGGCGGTGGGGTCGCCGACCTCGCCGTCTCGCAGGGAAGTCAGGGAAGTCCAAGTCTCCTAAAGCCTGCTCGGCCTGCTCGGCGCGCGCTTCCTGTGTTGTTGGCGGTTCCTTTTCGCCGGTTCACACACGGCCCACCACGCAGGGCACGCATCCTCCGCGAGCTTGTACAGCCCGGCTACATCGCCAAGGCATGGCCAAGGACTTGCTAATGGTGAGCATGAGTGCCTTGCCTTTATCACACACAAATTGAAGCACGGCACTGTAATTGCGTCATCTTCGGGGGAAAAGAGGGGGGGGGCGAACTGAAAGGTTTGCTCTAACTCGAGGTTTGAGGTTCAAGGCCAGACCCTCCGCGACGGCGGGCTCCGTCAACCATGAGCTGGCCGGCCGGCCCGTCATCATGTAGCAAATCGATTAGAGGCAGCAGTGCAGCGGGGAGCATTAAAGACCCGCATAAACACTCGCTACAAGTTGCAGCAAACGGGTTGCAGGTTACGTCTCGCATAAACCAAATTAATTGTCCCCACCGCGGCGTGGCGCGGCGGTGGTTATTCGAACGCGAGTAATCCTTGATTGGCGAATGACACTGGTTTGCGTGCGGTGCGGCGCGCGGCGCGGCTCGCAGGGCCACTCGGTATGCAGGCACGGCCTCCATAAAACACGAGGCGACATCGACGCGCAACGCGCGGACGTGCCGCTCCTTCCTCACGCACGAGTGCGTGGTGCTGGCGAACCCATCGGCCGAACCACAGGCCGCCCATTAAGGGCGACTCGGAGACGGAATATCAAAGCCCCCTGGCGGAAACACGCTGTGACAGTCCGACGGACGGACAGACAGGGTGGGAAGTTGCAGGCGCGCCCAGCGATACGTGCTGTTGGACCAAGGGCGGCCCCTGACCTAGATCACGACAATCTTCTGAAGCTCCTCCTCCCTGGAGTCCTCGTCGGACGCGGAGTGGACGCAAGCGTCTCCACACACGTGAGGTGACACCTTCAAGGACCGCCGCACTGGGGAACAGGAGGGAACTTTATTTGCCGTTCATGGGGGACGGCCACGCCG